CGCTCTTCTCGGGCTGGGTATGGCTGTGCGTGGCCACACTCAAGGCTGGGGTTCACCGTCTCCATGGACCAGCTTTCCATGAGCTTTATCCGTCCTTTGCTTTGCTGTTTGCTGGCTGGGGTGGACCTGGGGCCCACGCAGGGCAGCACCTTGGGATGGACTAGCCCAGCTCCCTTCTGGGCTCCCGCTGGGTCTTGGGCAGGGTGAGGGCATCCGCCTACTACCTCTCTTCACAGGAGGCCATGGCCTTCGTGCTGTTGGCCTAGACACACCAGCCTCCCACTTCCCAGCCGGCCCCTGCTCTCCAGGAGCACCAATGGCGCCATCTGCCAAGGCTGACAGGGCCTCGGCTGGCCCCCAGGGCCTGGCTCCAGAGAGGATGAACCTGGCGGCCTACGTGCCCCTGCTGACCCAGGGCTGGGCAGAGATCCTGGTCCGCAGGCCCACAGGTACAGACCCCATGCCATCCTCCCCCAGCCTGCTCGGGGTGCTCCCCTGCTCCTCACAGGAAGCCCCTAGCCCTCCTGTGTCATTTCCCTGTCGGGAGCTGCCCCAAGAGCCGAGGGGCAGGCCCTCACCCCGCCAAGGAGGTGCTGGCACCAGGGTGGGCTGCACGAGGGGCCGGGGTGGGAGCGTGCGGCCTGAGGCTGTTGCCCGTTTCCCAGGGAACACGAGCTGGCTAATGAGCCTGGAGAACCCGCTGAGCCCCTTTTCCTCGGACATCAACAACATGCCCCTGCAGGAGCTGTCCAATGCCCTCATGGCGGCCGAACGCTTCAAGGAGCACCGCGACACCGCCTTGTACAAGTCACTCTCGGTGCCAGCAGCCAGCACGGCCAGGCCCCCACCGCTCCCTCGCTCCAACACAGGTGGGTGCCCTGCTGCCCTCGGAGTCTGCCACACAGCTGGCCTGGGCCCGCAGCTGCCAGTGGGACTCCCTTACTGACAGGCTGCCCGTGGGCTCCTCTGTGCAGTGTGAGGACCAGTCCAGCTGCTCTGCCAGCACCCGTGGGGTCCGCGTGGACTGGGCTCGGCTGCTGCCCTGCTCGGGGCCCTGGCCTGTGGCCACAGGTGTTCGCGAGGCAGCAAGAGCCCGCGCGCCTCCCGGACGCTGCTGGCCCCCCTCTCTCCCTCCAGGCTCGGGGTCTGTCTGCTCGGCCTGTGTAGTGTCCTGCTGAGCCGGCCGCGCGGGCTTTCCCTTGCAGTGGCCTCCCTGTCCTCCCTGTGCCCGTCCGGCTGCCAAGGGAAGCTGCACAGGAGCATTTCCTGGGCAGGTACTCGCGCGCGCAGGGCGGCGTGCTTGCTGTGGAGCCCGCTGCCTTGCAGGCCTGCCGCACGAGGACACGCCTGCTTTGCCCAGCCCTGACATGTGCGTCTGGCCGGTCCGACCCCTCAGACGCGGGTCTCAGGCCAGCCGCAGGTGCTGGCTGGTGGCAGCTGACCGTGGCCCGGGACTGCCTGCCATGCTCCATCTACAATCCCATGCAGGCTGGCCCCTGCCCCACTGCCGCAGGGCAGTGTGCAGACAGCTCCCGGTGGCACGGCTGTGCGTGGGTGGGCTGGGCTGGTCTCCCTTGGGTACCGCTTGTCCTGCTGACGCTGGCCTGGGTCGTGTTGCTTTGGCATGCTGCAGCCTCGCATGGGTTTGCAAGGCCAGCGCTGCCGTCAGCAGTGGACCCCAAGTCTGTTCCCTGAGGGGCCTCTGTGGGCTCCTGCCTCGTGGGGTGCAGAGTGGCTTCTGGGGGCACTGGGGTAGGTGGGGTTGGTAGGTACCATGTAGGAGCCCCCGGGACCTGCCCCGTGGGTGGCGGTGAGCAGGGCTGGGCCGAGGCAGCCCTCTGGGAGGGAAAGGCCAGCCTGAGGTCTTGCGTGCGCCAGGCCCGGTCCCAGCTGCCCGTGTGCTCCTCCCAGACTCGGCCATGCTTCCGGAGGAGAGTGTAGGTGCGGCCCCGCTGCCGCCAGATCCCCCAGAGCTGGAGGACGTAGAAGTGGCCGCGCTAGGCAGCCAGGGGCGCTGTGGCCGTGCTGCTGTCTATAGCCGGGTGAGTAGAGTCAGGCCGGGGCTTCCCCACCTCCCAGCTGGTCCCCAACTTGCTCTGAGAACTTGGCCGGTCCTGTCCCTTCTGTTAAATCAGCCTGGGACCCCATCCCTTCTGGGTGCCCGCGATCACAGCGGGCCGGTCTGACCAGGGCTGACCTGTGTGGTCCTTTTCAGTCGTCCTCAGCGTCCAGTCAAGAGGAGAAGCCATTCCGCAGTGAGGAGCGGGCCGCCTGTGGCGTCCCCATAGAGCGGACTGGCTCCACTGCCAGCGGCCGGCCGGCGGTGGGCCTCTCCTTCCAGCCCTCACAGCCGCTCAGCAAGTCCAGCTCCTCCCCCGAGCTGCAGACGCTGCAGGACGTCCTGGGGGAGGCCGGGGACAAGGCTGATGGTGGCCGGCTCAGTCCCGAGGCCAAGGCCCGGTCACAGTCAGGGTCCCTCGACAGAGATGGTGCCGCCTGGGGGCCCCCGGATGAGGAGGGCCAGGGCTTGGGCCCCACACAGCCTGAGGGGGCCCTGCCATCCAGCTCGCCCCGCTCTCCCGGTGGCCTGCGGCCCCGCGGCTATACCATCTCCGACTCGGCCCCATCACGCAGGGGCAGGAGGGCCGACAGGGTGGAACGGGACGCCCTCAAGGGCAGGGCTGCGGCCAGCAGCGCCGAGAAGGTGCCGGGCATCAACCCCAGGTGAGCAGAGCTGGTGGGTTCCGTGGGCAGGCGGCTCTGTGCAGGGCTGAGCTCCCCTCACCACCCCTCTGCCCCCAGCTTCGTGTTCCTGCAGCTCTACCACTCGCCTTTCTTTGGCGACGAGTCCAACAAGCCCATCCTGCTGCCCAACGAGGTAGGCCTAGCCCCCACCCCCGGGTGGTCGGCCCCTTCCTGCCGTGAGCCCCGGGTGGTCGGCCACTGCCTGCCGTGAGCCCGGGTGGTCGGCCGCTGCCTGCCGTGACCCCCGGGTGGTCGGCCGCTGCCTGCCGTGAGCCCTGAGCTGGGCTGGGCTCACGCGGGTGCTTCGTTGTGCAGTCCTTTGAGCGGTCGGTGCAGCTCCTGGACCAGATCCCATCATATGATACACACAAGATCGCCGTCCTCTACGTGGGAGAGGGCCAGGTGAGGCCAGGCGCCAGCACGTTGGCCGTTGGTCTTGTCGCTGAGTGGCCATGTATGCTCATGAACCTGAGAGCTGGGGACAGAGATGAGGCAGTGTGGGTGGGCTTGGTAGGTGGCTGGCAGCCCCTGCTCGGGCGCATTGGGACTGCATGTGACCGAATCCAGGGCTGGCTGCAGTGGTAGTGGTGGGTTCCAGCAGATGGCCATTGTGTGTGGGCACTGCCCGGGCTCTGGCAGTTTGGAGACAGCTGGGGATTAACGGGCTGACAAGGCCTCCCAGCAAGGACCTGCCATGCAGAGCAACACGCTGCCGTGCTGTGTCCCTGCAGAGCAACAGCGAGCTGGCCATCCTGTCCAACGAACACGGCTCCTACCGCTATACCGAGTTCCTGACGGGGCTGGGCAAGCTCATCGAGCTCAGGGACTGCCAGCCCGACAAGGTGTACCTGGGCGGCCTGGACGTGTGTGGCGAGGACGGCCAGTTCACCTACTGCTGGCATGATGACATCATGCAGGGTACAGCCCGCAGCCCTGCCCCCGACCCTGGGACTCTGAGGTCACCATCTGGGCATTGAGACAGCGGCTGGGATCGTGGCTCTGCTCCCAGCAGCCCTGGCCAGGCATTCGGACAGCTGAGGGAGAGCTGGCGGGCAGTGCCGTGCTTACCCTGGCTGTGCTTGCCTGGCAGCTGTCTTCCACATTGCCACCCTGATGCCCACCAAGGACGGGGACAAGCACCAGTGTGACAAGAAGCGCCACCTGGGCAACGACTTCGTCTCTATCGTCTACAATGACTCTGGTGAGGACTTCAAGCTGGGCACCATCAAGGTGAGTGGAGGCCATCGGGCCGCCTGTCATCCCGCAGCCATGGCTTCCTGTGTGGCGGGTGTGGAAGTGGGCTCCGGTGTGCCACAGCAGTGCTGGCCCCCCTGTGCTCAGGAGGAGCGGGCTAGGGGGCAGAGCCCGCTGCAGGACATCCCGGGGGTGCATGGGTGTGGGCTGAGTGGAGGCTGTTCCTCCAACGGTCGCTGAGCAATGGGGCAGAAGCAGGGGACGGCAGTGCCACTGTGGGGGTGCAGGGAGGGGCAGGACTGGGGTGTCTGGGTGTGGATGACTGTCACCTGTGCGGGCAGGGCCAGTTCAACTTTGTTCACGTGGTTATCACCCCGCTGGACTACGAGTGCAACCTGGTGTCGCTGCAGTGCCGGAAAGGTGAGGGTGCGCCCTGGTTGCTCTGGGGGTGTCCCCCGAGGCCCCGCCTGAGTCCTCTGTCCCCACAGACATGGAGGGCCTCGTGGACACCAGCATGGCCAAGATTGTGTCTGACCGCAACCTGCCCTTTGTGGCCCGGCAGATGGCACTGCATGCCAATGTGAGCAGGGGAGCTTTCTGGGGAGGGGTCCCAGGGGTCCCGGCGGCCGCTCACCAGCACCGTCCTCTGGCCCCAGATGGCCTCGCAGGTGCACCACAGCCGCTCCAACCCCACCGACGTCTACCCCTCCAAGTGGATCGCCCGGCTGCGGCACATCAAGCGACTCCGCCACCGGGTAAGGAGCTGGGGAGGGGAGTTCAGGGCTGCCGGGCCAGACCGGCCAGGCTCGCACTGGAGACCTCATCCCCACGCAGGTCCGTGAGGCCACCCAATATGCAAACTCCAGCCTGCCCCTGATGCAGATGCACAACCCTGCCCACGCCAAAGCCCCCACGCAGGCGCCAGCTGAGCCGCTGTCCACCTACGAGACTGGCCAGCGGAAGCGCCTCATCTCCTCCGTGGACGACTTCACAGAGTTTGTGTGAGGCTGCAGCCAGGTGGCGCGGGGCAGAGGAAATAAATGGGCCAGCGGGAGCAGCAGTCAGCTTCTTTATTTGACTTTGTCTGCTTGGGGCAGAGTGGGGGGAGGCAGCTGGGGCGCCCCCTCCCCCGCGGGGAGCCTGGCATTGCCTGAGGGCAGACACCCCTTCCCAGGCCTGGGAGCCAGCCCCAGGCACCAGAGACAAATAGGGACGTGGGGGACTCGGATCCAAGAGGTGGCGTGGCTTCCTGGCCCCCGCATGTGCGCCCGCGGGCTCCTCAGCCCTACTGGAAAGTTGTGACTTACAAAAATATGCACATCTCAACACCATATAAATTACGATAGAGGCAGTGGCTGGCAGCGGTGCCCTGCATGGGGCAGCGAAGGCAATAACTTAGGGGGAGGGAAGGAAAGCGGGCTGCCTGCCCCCGAGCCTGAGGCCGGCACAGGCCCGCTGTACCTGAGGACCTGGGGAATAAGTTAGCATCTCAGGGGGGGCACTCGCCCGTCCAGTACTGCTGTGGCCTCCGGCGGGCAGCGGGCAGGGGCCTGGCCGGCCACGCAGCCTCCTAAAGTGCGGCAGCTCGTGGGCAGACAGCGCCTGCCTGCCCAGCCCTCGCTGGGGCAGAAAGTAATACTGAGCGGTCCTGGTTCCCCAGGGCTAGGTGCTGCTGGGGTGTACTCTGTTCTTGCCCCGTGCAGAGGTCCTGGTGGGCCCTGGGGCTGCGTCCGTGCCAGCCTGGGCAGGCCTCGGGTCAGAGGCAGGCAGGAGACTCTGCAGCCGCCACTCGAGCTGGTAGACCTCCTCCGTGGCCTGGTTGAGCCGGTCGAACTGCGCAAGCAGGGCCTCGAACACCGCGTGCAGCCGGGAAGGCTCTGGCTCCCCGCGCGCACCTGGGTGCCCAGGGCCAGGGCCGTCCAGCTGACTGGAGGACGTGGAGGGGTGGGAGGCATCGGAACCGGCGCTGGGCAGGCGGGCATCTGACGCCTTGGAGCCCCGGGAAGAGCGGGAGGGCAGGGGCTCCATGCCCTCGAAGCGCACTTTGTGGCGGAACTGGGGGCGGCACAGGGGCTCCGTCACTCCGGCTGCGCTCCGGGTTCCCGGGGCGGGCCTTCTCCACCCCCACTGGGCCGTACCCACCTCCTTGGCCTTGCTGAAGCCCAGCCAGAGGCGCAGCCTTCGCAGCAGCAGCTCCACCATCTCGTGGTCCTGCGGCTCCCAGGCCGGCCGGTACAGCTCCCCACGCAGCCCGCGGTAGCGCCAGCGCAGCACCACGGCGCCCAGCCGCAGCGCGCCCCACAGCCGCAGGGCCCAGAGCCCCGCGCACAGCAGCGGGAACAGGGGCCAGGAGCCACCTGGGCACGGCGTGGGGACCCCGAGCCCGGCGCCCGGGCACAGCACCACCAGGGCCCCCGCCGCGCTCCGGAGGCTGTCTGCGGAGGAGACGAGCTGTGGGCCAGAGCAGGAGGGCCGGTGAGCGGGAGGGTCGGGGAGGTGGGCAGGGGGGCGGGGGGCGGTGGGCAGGGGGGCGGGGGGCGGTGGGCAGGGGGGCAGGGGGCGGTGGGCAGGGGGGCAGGAGGGCCGGTGAGCGGGAGGGTCGGGGAGGTGGGCAGGGGGGGAGGGGGCGGTGGGCAGGGGGGCAGGGGGCGGTGGACAGCGGCCCACGGCGGCAGCTCCCAGTACCCACCAGCACGGCCAGCTGCGTGTAGGCGGCGCCCAGCAGCAGCAGGCCCACGGCGGCCCCGGCCAGCTCGGGCAGGGCCCGGCGCAGCGTCTTGCCCAGGATGGACCACTGGCGCACGAAGCGCAGCTGCCGGGCGGCCTGCGGGCAGGGGGCGTCAGTGCTGCCCGGCCGCCCGGGCCCCCCGGCCCCCCAACCCCCGGCCCGGCGCTCACCTGGAGCAGCAGCAGGAAGAGCAGCGAGGCCGCCAGGCCGCGGGCAGCGGCGCCCAGCTGGGCCACCTGCTCGAAGCTGGTGAAGCGGCGCGGGCGGCCCCGCACCAGCAGCGCCCACTGGCGGTCCGCGGCGCCCAGCTGGGCCAGGCGCACCAGGGCGGCGGCCGCCGTCAGCGCCACCAGCAGCCACCTCGCCCAGGGCCCCGGCCGCGCCGCCCGCGCGCGTCCCTCCCTGCGCCACGCGTGGACCTCGGCCACGGAGAAGTAGAGCGCGAACAGCAGCAGGCACACCTGGGGGCGGGGCTCGTGAGGGCGGGGCCCGCGAGGGGCGGGGCCACGGGCAGGATCAGGGGCGGGTGGGCGGGGCCCCGGGCGGGTGGGCGGGGCCCGGGCGGGCGGGCGGGGCCTACCGAGGTGAGCAGCGGCAGCGACAGCCCCCCGCTGAGCCTGCGCAGCGCGAAGGGGCGGACACTGAGCGCGGCCAGGGCGCGGCCGGCGGCGGGGAACTCGAGGCGCAGGGTGACGGCGGCGTGCAGCCCCACGGCCGGGCTGTAGCGCGTGAGCTCCACGAACACGGCGCGGCTCCTGCACGGGGCGGGGGACGGGAGCGTCGGGGACGGGAGCGTCGGGGACGGGAGCGTCGGGGACGGGCGGGAGCCGGGCAGTCATGGCACGGGGGTCGTGGGGCCCGGGGGCGGGGGGCACCTGTCGTCCAGCCAGTTGTGCCGCCGCAGGAAGCGCAGACGCGCGCGGCTCTCCTCCAGGCTCAGGCCCAGCTCCTGCACGTAGCCCCCGCTGTCGTACACGGCGCAGTGGCCCCAGGACCAGGTGCTGGGAGGGGAGAGGGGCCGCGTGGAGCCGGGCCGCACGCCAGGGGCTCCCCCAGCGCGCCTCCCCCGGCCTGGCGCCCCGCTCACCCCGGCAGGTCAGGCGCCGAGTAGGCCCACGGGGCAGAGCCGTTGCGGGCCTCGCGGCCCCAGCCGACGCTGTAGTCGCCGGTGCTGAAGCTGCCCGAGGCCGAGCAGGCGCGCGGTCCTGCGCCGGGCACCTCCGGGCACAGCCCTGCAAGGCAGGCCCGGGCTGGGTCACCGCCCGCCTCGCCCGGGGCCACCCCGGCCCCCACAACCCAAGGCCCGCAGCGCCCCGCTCACCTTCCCGCAGCCGCACCTGCCGCAGGCGCGGGGGCCCCAGCTCCGGGCCGGACTGGTTCCCGTGCACCGAGGGGAGCAGCACGCGGGACATCCACGGCCAGAACTCCTCAGACCTGCCGGGCCACGCGGTCAGACGCAGGCGCGGCCCGAGCCCATCGCCCTCCCGCGGGCCGCGCCTGGCTGGCCGGGGTGCGCGCACCGGGTGATGGCCAGGAAGGCCCTGCTGGCCAGCTCCTGCTTGAGGGCGCTCTGCAGGCGGTAGGCGTGGCCGTGCGAGGAGGCGTCCCCGTAGTTGGCCAGCAGCGTCACCAGCAGGAAAAGCAGGTACACCAGGAAGCTCTGGGGGACAGGGGTGCCCCGGGGTCAGCTCGGCCCCAGCCCTGGCAGGAGCGGGCGCCCCAAGGCCAGGGCACCGCAGGGCTCACCTTCAGCATGCCGTGCAGCCTCTTGACCTTGCGGGCCTCCTCCTTGGCCAGGAAAAGCGCAAAGCCATGGGGCGGGCGCACACGGGGCACGCGCTCGCCCACGGGCGTCACAGCCGGGCTTCCCACCAGGCTGTCATCCTCGTCGGGGTGCAGGCGCTTGGCCAGCAGTGAGAAGTACAGGGCTTCCAACAGGACCTGTGGTGGGGCAGGTAGCATGGGTGGGACTGGCCGCCCACCACCGGGAGCCCCCCGGGGAGCCACGCACCTTCAGGGGCTCCCAGCCCAGGAACGAGACCACGAAGCTGCAGCTACTCGACAGGAGCCACGAGACGCTCACGCTGGGGGGGAAACTGGTGCCGACCCACCCGGAGACCCCTACAGCCACGGCCACCAGGAACAGGCTGAGCCCGTGGGCCAGGGGGGCACACCAGGCCGGCAGCAGGCACTTCCGCGGCCCCTCCGCCGGGCCTGGAGACAGAGAAAGCTGTGATTGGCAGGTGAGGCCTGGGGAGGGAAGGGGGAGGGACGTCCCAGCACCCCCAAGCGCACCTGCCCTGCACAGGAGAGCCGCAGGGGCCGCTGGGGGTGCCTTGTCCAGCCTCTGCAGTGCCAGCACCTCCGTCTCCCTGGGGGCTCTGGACCTGAGGGGAACAGGAGCTCGGTGTCCTCCTGGGGACCTGCACTGAGGACTTGGGGTGCTGCCACCATGGTCTAGCGGGTACAGTGCTCACACCACTGCGCATGGCAGCCACCTCCAGACTGCTCTTCACACACGCCCACCACAGCTGGGGTCCCACCTTGCCACACGGAGGCCAGCGCTGACCTGCACACGGGACAGTGCAGATTCTCTGTGCCACCACTAAATGCCAGCATGCCTGGACAGGCGGGCATGGGGGCAGGGATGGCTCTGAGCCCTGAGCACACGCTGCCGGGGGCTGCGCTGGGCTGCGGGCTCTGGCCGCCGGGGAGCAAGTGTGTGGAGGCAGCGGCAGGAGAGCAGGCACCACACACTCACGTGATGCAGACTCGCTTTCCTCTGGGGTGAGGGAGAGAGGGCACCCGGGAGCAGGACTGCTGACCCACACCCAGCGGCCACTCTGCCCTCGCTGGAGCCGAGGAACAGCTGCTGGGAGGCGCTGGTGCTCAGCCAAGCACAAGCACGGGCCGCCGTCCGGGAAGGACGCCCTTGCAGAAGGGACGCAGACGGGTGGACAGCAGAGGCAGCCGCAGGACAGCCTCAGGGCAGAGCCACTGGGCCCCCAGCCAGCCTTCTGCACGGGCGCCATGGCCAGACGAGGGGACAAGGACGAAGTGTCATCACCAAGGGCCCTGTGGCTTCCGTCTGGCTCTTGAAGCACTAGCCGTGGCCCTGCACCTGCTGTCCTGGCACAGGCACCAGGCCCAGGGGGAGAGGTGAGCTCTGCACCTGGGAGGGAGGGGTGAAGTCTGCTGACTCAGACAGGTTCAAATAAGGCCGAAGGAGCCCGTGTGGTAGGCCTGAGGTGCCAGCATCCCATGTGGACGCTGGTTTGAGTGCCAGCTGCTCCACTTCTGATCCAACTGCCTGCCAATGGCCTGAGACAGCCGTGGAGGACGGACCAAGCCCTTGGGTCCCGGCCGGCCTGACGGGGACCAGGATGGAACTCCTGGCTTTAGCCGGGCCCAGCCCTGGCCTTTATGGTCAGACACAAGATCTCTGTCTCCACCCCTTGCTCTAACTGTGCCTTGTTTCAATAAATCCGTTTGAAAAGAGTAACTATGTTAAAACAGTTGCTAAATTGGAAAACAGCCAAGAAATGGGAAAATTCCTAAAACTGCAACAGTTTATTACAACAGCTTAAAAAGCTCATGGTGGGGTCACTGCTGAGGGAAATGAGGCCTGGTCCCCAGGATCTGTGCACTTACAAGCCGGTCAGCAGGTCCGTTTCCATCTCTGGGTCCTGGGAGGTCAGGCCACTTGCCCCGTCAGCCAGGACCTGCCGGATCAGGTCTTCATCTGCAGGAAGAGGCCATGTGAGGGCGGGCCCAGCGTGGGAGCTGCCCCTCCCCCTCCCCAACTCACCTAGTGCTGACAGGTACTTGGCCGGGGAGCAGGGGCTGGCCAGGGACAGGCTGTCCTCCTCTGCGCCCAGCAGCCGGCCCATGCGGACCCTTGCCAGCCGCTGCAGGGTGCTGCCCACGATGGACGGGTCGCTGAGCAGGTCTGGCCAGCTGAATGTCCCCTCGCTGGATGGCCAGCAGGCCAGGCTGTGGGTAACAGGGCTCAGCAAGGGGAGCTGGGGGATAAGACTGAACACGCACACGGCCAGCACACACACACGCAGAGGACACGCAGGAGCTGGGAACTGACACCCTGGGGAGCAGCTGCCTACCCCAAGGCTCAGTTCTCCAGGGGACCCACCTATTGGAATCTTCCAGAAATGAGTCACTTTTTGTGTGCCCAGCAAAGGCCTGTGGGAAGGCAGAGCACATCACCGTGAGGCCAGCCCCACAAGGCAGGCCCATCCTCCCACCCCGGGCCTAAACCTTCACCTCCGCCCGGAGTCCTGCCAGGCCGAGGAAGGCGCTGTCCAGCACAGATGAGTCCAGGCAGCTGTCCCCGTCCAGCTCCGGCGGGCCTGGTGGGGCATGGCCCAGGCCCCTAGCTACCTGCAGGGCGAGCGCAAGAGCTAGGCGGGGCAGCTGTAGGCCCTGCTCAGGAGATAGGGTCCAGACCGGTGCTCTGGACAGCTTTTCTATCTACACGGTCCTTTCCGCATGTCCTGACAGCGTGAGAGCCTGCTAGTGCAACTAAAGAAAGCAGTTTCGAGGTAACTCGGGAGGCGGCTGGGGCACAGGCGGCATGCTGTCCCGAGCCTGGCCGGCCTGCCCGCCGCGGCCCCGGGCAGAGCTCCCAGCTTCAGTGAACCAGCGGGTAGGACACGACTCTCCTTTCTGTCATTCTGCTTTTCAAATAAATAAATTGCTTTACAATTAAACTTTTTTTTCCCTTTTCCTCTATTTACTATAACTTTTTATACTGGGGAGATAAGCCGCTCGGCTGGAGGCAATGGGTGTGCTGATGCGACAAGGGGGAGCGCAGATGGAGGGCAGCAGAGAACCCTGTACAAGAATATGTCTTCACGCACGTACATTGGGAAAAATACACCAAGAAAAGAAATGAATGCTGACAAGAAACGAACGTTTAAAAAACTAGCTTAAGCTTGCTTTGGCAGCAAACACACTAAAAGAAATAATTAGCTCGAGGCCGGCATTGTGGTCTAGCAAAGTTCAACCCCTCAAATGGGCACCGGTTCCTGTCCCGGCAGCCCCGCGTCCCATCCAGCTCCCTGCCTGTGGCCCGGGAAAGCAGTCGAGCACGGCCCAGAGCCTTGGGACCGTGTGGGAGACCCGGAAGAGGCTGCTGGCTCTGGGCCGGCCCAGCCCTGGCTGCCGGTAACCTGGATCTGAACCAGCACATGAAGATCTCTCCCGCTCCCCTCTGCGCTGCAACTCTTTCCAACAAAGGAGCACACTTCTTTCCACTTCACGCTCCCTGGTCCAGCCGTCCCAGCTCTCCAGGCCTACCTTGCTTTGGGACATGCGGAAGAGGAACAGGACAAGCAAGTAGACGGGGTACACGATGACGCTGGACACCAGGCCCACGGCGGCCGTGCCGAGGCTCAGTGGGACCACCCTGGACACAGGCCCCGTGCTGCACAGTAGCATAAGAGACCAGGGCCAGTGTAGGTCGCCAGGGGCCGGACAGAGGCAGGCCTCCCCGCGCCCCACGCACGCACCTGTAGGTGGCGTCTCCCACGATCCCATACCACACGGCGTTCGCGCCCAGGAACAGGCAGAGCAGCAGCACGCAGCAGGTGGCTCTCTGCACGCGGGTGAAGCGGCTGCGGGGCCGACGATCCCACACAGACAGCCAGATGTGTTTGTCAAAGAAGCCACGCTGCAGCTCGGCCACCAGGAGGCGTCGGAACTGCCACAAGGCGGTGTCGCCTGGGCCAGTGAGAGCGAGGGCCAGCTGCAGGAAGGGCCAGAGCGGCCACCCGCCCCAGCCCTGGGATGCCAGGAAGCCCCTTACTTGCCGCCAGCACCTCCTTCTCCACCAGGCCGCCGTTGGCCTCTGTGTCCACTGAGAGCCAGGCATTGACCGGGAAGAAGGTGCTGCGTGCGCTCTGCAGGTCCCGGACGATCACGTGCTGCAGGAACCAGGCTGGGCTGAGCCCTGCGGGGATGCGGGGGGAGGTGAGGGTAGCAGCGAGGGGGGGGGGGAGGGCAGGGCGGGGGAGGGCAGGGGGGAGGGCAGGGCAGGGCGGGGCGGGGCAGGGCGGGGCGGGGCGCAGGTGGCACCTTTGTTGTCATGCCACACGCGGATTTTCCACACGCTGCCCAGGCTGTGTGGGGTGGCAATCTGGAAGATGTCGAGGCTGTTGCGGTGGAAGGCCCTGTGCCCGTGCAGGTGCCGGTGGCCGCTGCGGCTGTCTGCCCCATACAGCATGATGCCCACGTGTGCTGTGGTGCCTGCGGATGGTGGGGGGGCAGGAGCCTGCGTGGGCGGCCACCCCGCTTGGGGCCCAGGCTGCCTTTCTGTCACATGAGTGCTAAACCAAGCATGACCCCAGCATCCAAGGACTCCAGGCCCAACAGCCAGGGCGCACCAACTGCAGGGCCTGCCCTCAGACCCCAGGCCGCTTGGTCTGGTCCCTGACTCTGACGTAGTGGGTGAAACCTCCACCAGCAGTGCAGGCATCCCATATGGGTGCTGGTTCGAATCCCAGCTGCTTCACTCCCCATCCAGCTCCCTGCTAATGTGCCGGTACAGCAGGATGGCCCAAGTGCTTGGGGACCTACATCCACGTGGAAAACCCAGAAACCTGACCCACCCAAACCCACTGCTTCCTGGGCTGAGCGTCAGCAGGCAGCTGGACACACACTGTTAGCACTCAGTGCATCTCCCTTGGAGCCGTCACACGGACACTTAGGCAGAGCTGGTGCTGGCCTGTGAGCCCCAGGCAGTGAGGCCCCTTCTGGCCTGGCATCAGCAACTCAGGGAGGCTGGCCCTGCGTGGGGTGGCCAGGAGCCTGCACTCACCCGAGCCCCTGCCCCAGCCGGTCTTGACCAGAATCTCATACTTGAAGCGGCCCCTTTTCCCGCAGAATGGGATGACCCGGATGTGGCGCAGGTCTAGCTGGTCCAGCTTGCGCAGGATCACGGCCATGACCGCATAGCCCCCCAGGCACACAGCACAGGTCAGCAAGATGACATAGTTCATGCCTGCAGCCGGCTCCTGAGCAGACAGGGCCGTCATGTCCACATCGCCCATCCGTGGATAGAACCCAGCCTGTGCCCTCACCCGCCACCTGTACTCACGGGGAGGACGAAGTGGACACGGCTGGGGGGCACAAAGAGGCTGGCACCGAAGGCAGTGAGGTGGCGTGTGAGACACACGGCCTGGCTGGGCGAGGTCTCCTCCAGGGGCACGAGCCCCTCCGTCTTCCACATCATGTCCTCCTCACTGAAGTACTGGCACAGGGCCGTGTAGAGGCCCACGGACACCTCAAGCGCCGACCAGCGGAAGTGGCTTGTCAGGTTCAGGTAGTAACTGCCAGTGGGTGCTCGGGTTCTAGGAATGAGGAATGCAGCAGCAAGACCCTTCAGCACGACCCGGCTTCAGACCCCAATCCCACCTTCCAGCAGTCACCACGTGGGGAGGGGCTCACCCTGGGGCGATGAAGAAGGTGTAGGGCCTGTGGTCGGTGCCCGTGAGCAGCTCCGGGCTGATCCTCCTGCTGGCCGAGCAGTTGTGCTCATTGGGCTGGGGCTCCGAGTGCAGGTACACAGCCAGGTATGGCTCAGGCTCCTCGGACAGGTAGTGCCCTGGAGGGCAGGTGCAGCGTCAGACCCTGCCCGCCCACCCCCAGGAAACAGGCAGGAAACTGCGGGGGCTTGCCTCGTAGCACCCACCATTCACCAGCGTGTACGTGAGCCGCAGGTGCAGCCCTGCCGCAGGGTTACTGCTGTCCAGGGCCACGACGGCGCTGACCGAGGCCTGGGGCTGAATGATGGCAGAGCCCGCAGATGCCTGGGGCCCCCAGGAGGCCTGGTCCGAGTTGTTGGGCACCTTCACAGTGATGGCGCGTTCCGAGGCCAGACGCTCAATGGGGATGTGGGTGCCAGCCTGCGTCTGGAAGGCCATGGACGCCACCTTGGTGGAGACTGTGTAGTTGCTGATGTAGCCGAAGGGGAAGGGATTGGAGTCCACGAGCAGCATGAGTTGCACCACGTCGCTGAGTGGCGCCAGGGCCCCACTGAAGGCCTCGGGGATGGAGAAATGGCAGCCGGGCCCAGAGGCGTTGCCATAGCACAGCAGGCTCAATGGGTCCGAGCGCTTGCCCTGGGCCACAATCTCCTCACCAGCCAGAGTCAGAGGTTCTTCATTGAGCACACGGGAACGCATAAGGATGCACATGAGGGCGGAAGACAGGTTGTAGGCCCTGGAGGCCACCATCAGGGCAGGTGGCTCTGTGCCGGGCTCTGTCAGCTGGGTGCCCTGCAGGTCCAGGCCAGCCAGGTGGATGAGATCCCCTGCAATGGGCAGGAGGTCAGGGGAGTGACCCGGGGCCGGGAGGGGCGTGGCCCGGGGCCGGGGCGGGAGGGGCCCGGGTGTGGAGGGCGGGGCCACAGCATCCTGCACCTGTGATGTTGAGGATGCTGTCCGCGATGCCCGTGGGCGTCACAGTGCCCTCGGTGGTCTCGGCCTGCAGGATGCGCATCATGCCTTCCAGCTTGTGCAGTGTCTTCTTCAGGCAGGAGCGACACACCAGTTCCCTGCTGGACACCTGCAGGGAACCACGCGCATGGGGCCCAGGCTGCACAGCAGCAGCCAGTCACAGCAGGTGCACTGGCCTCACACTGGACCGCAGCACAAGAGAAGCCTAGGCGACGGGATGCAGCACACAGAACTGAAAGAAGCCCCTGCACTTGGAGGCCCGGCCCCCAGCAGAGGACGTCCAGGGACCCCCTACCGTGCACTGGGCCAGTGCGGCTGCAATCTGCTGGATGTCGTCCACCGTGTTGACCCGCAGGGACACCAGGGTCTCTGTTATGTTCTTGCGTATCTGGGCCCGCAGCTGCTGCTCCCGCTCCGCCTCTGTGGCCACGTCCAGCACCTGCTCATACTGGTGGGGCAGCGGGCACAGCAGTGCTGTCAGCGGCCAGGCAAGGAACCCCCTGCAGCACCAGCGGGCCAGCGGCAGGGGCATGGAAGGGACGGCGGAAGGGCTCAAGGCCACGGTGTCCACCAAGGCGCTCACACTGACCTCGTTCAGCACAGTGACCAGGGCCAGTGAGTATTCGATAACGTGCTGGGGGTCAGCCTGACGCAGCAGGCCAGGGAGCACGCTGGCTGTGAGGCCATGCAGCCAGGCCGTGAGGCTGGGGGAGCTGCCATTGGGCTCGGGCAGGGCGATGACCAGAGACCTGTGTGACGGCAGGGGACATGAGCAGGCAGGGGCCTCTGTCCTCCCTCCCCTGCTCCTGCATACCCTACTCACCGGTTGAGGGCGACCACGGCAGCCCCCAGCTGGTCCTGCACCACCACAGCCAGGCCCACCTGGAAGTGCGGCCGGAAGCCGGGTGGGAGCACAGCAGAGTAGGCTGCAAGGCTGCCTTTATAGATGCAGAACTCCTCGCAGTGGCCCTGGCGACAGCGGCGCAGCAGCAACGCGTACACCAGGGGCGCCCCCGCATCCTCCGCGTCCCACCACCCTGTGGACAGCAGTCGGGGGGCCGCGTTAGACCTCATCCTCCAGCCCCTCACCCGCATCTCCTGGTTCACACGTACCTGTACACTCGAATTGCACCTTGGTGGTGAGGGCACGCACGGCAGCCAGCGGGAAGAGGCGGCAAGCGCCCCCCAGTGGCGGCCGGTTTGGGGCCAGCCGGATGGAAGCGCAGCCTTCCTCCTCACCGGAGCGTCCCAGCACCGTGAGCGTGAACGTGTAGCCCTGGCCGTCCTGCAGCACGCCGCGCCGTACCACCAGCCGCATGCCCGCGTTGCCGGTGGACGTGGTTGTCTTGTCCAGCACCAGCGTCTTGTTGCTGAAGGTGCGTGCAGCCCAGCGCTGCGGGGACACCCGGAGGTGTGAGGAGGCAGGGACATGGCAGGGGAGGCCCCGGCTCCCCACCGGCCTGCCCACCACTCACCCCTCGTTTGGAGCCGCGGCTGCAGTTGTGACAACGGCCCTCCAGGTACACGTGGGAGCTGCGGCTCACTCCGTACACCGCCTGTGCCTTGCAGGACACACACTCCAAGGACACGATGGGCAGTCGGCCACTGCGGATCAGCACCTGGGCAGGGGTGGGGTCACAGGTCAGGCCCTGGCACTGCCTCCTGCATGGACTGCTCCCTTTCCAGGGAAGCCTTCTGTCCTTGGTCCAGCAGCTCCTACCCCACTCAGACTCCACACAAGACCCCATCTCGAGTGCCCACAGCTGGGCAGAGACCGAGCTGACCCTGCTCCAACTGCCCTCTCTGGTCAGGCCTGCCCAGGCAAGCCAGTGGAGAAAGGCGTGGTCCAGCACCAGGGACAGGTGAATGTGGCTGCCAGGGACCTGGGACCGCAGCCCGCTGTTCCCAACCTCCCTGGCTGACCACGCAGGAGAGCAGGGTGAGGAGACTGGCCTGTCCCAAGTGGGAACCAGGGTCCACTGCGAGAACAGCCTTAGGGTGGAAAGGGACTCTGCTTCCTGTCAGGACATGGCTTGCTTTTACCAACCTCTCCTAACACCTAAAGTCCTCCCCTTGAACGTGCTGGGATCCCATATGGGCACCGGTTCTAATCCCGGCAGCTCCACTTCCCATCCAGCAGTCGAGGATGGCCCAAAGCCTTGGGACCTGCAACCGCTTGGGAGACCCAGAAGAGGCTCCTGGCTCCTGACTTTGGACTGATGCAGCTCTGGCCTTGTGGCCGCTTGGGGAGTGAGTTGGCACACGGAAGGTCTTCCTCTCCTTCCCTCTGCAAATCTGACTTTCCAGCAGAAATAATTTTTTTAAGAACTCCATATACAGCTATGCTCTGATACGAAAAGAAGCCATGGTCACGATGGGTGTCATGAAATGGAACTCACATCAAACCAACACCAAGAGGTTGGCAGCTAATTCCCTGACTGCAGCACTGGCGCCCCATACAGGCGCCGGTTCTAGTCCCGGCTGCTCCACTTCCCATCCAGCTCCCTGTTTATGGCCTGGGAAAACAGAGATAGAGGGCCCAAAAGCCTTGGGACCCTGCACTTGGAGGAAACTCCTGGCTCCTGGGTTCAGATCGGCTCAGCTCCAGCCATTTGTGGCTATTTGGAAAGTGAACCAACAGACGGAAGATCTCTCTCTCCTTCTGACTTCAAAATAAATCAAGAATTTTAAAATGTTATGTGAATGAACACAAATCCCCAAGAAGCACTAAAACATGGGAACTTAGAGCGAAGGCAGACAGCGGTAATGCCGGCACCAGCTGGCGGACACAAGGCAGCACCAACCGTCTGACTGGCGACCTCCTCCTTCCGGCCTGCCTTCCACACGGTGAGGTTGAAGGTGTACTCCACACCGGCTTCCAGGCGCTCCCGGGGGATGGTGACCACGCTGCTCCCTCGGGGCCCGAAGTTCAGGGTGCACACGCCAGCCTCGGTCTGCAGACAGTGAGGAGAGGGGTCAGAGCCTGGCCAGGGGGACAGACACCTCCTGCCCACACTGGAACTAAACCCACTCGGGTCAGTCCCACGCTCACCTGCGTGGAGGCCACGCAGGCCCAGTGGCAGCTCAGAGGTGTCTGCTCTCCATCCTCCAGGTTCGGGTCATACGACTCACTGCCGTCCAGCACCAGGTCCTGGGTGTCCGACCATACCCGATAGGAGCCCCCCTCAATGATGGGCACCAGGCGCTCGGCAGCCACAGTCACATTGGCCTGGATGCTGCGTGCCAATGGCGTATCTCCAAATGACACCACAAACACAAAACAGTAGTGGCCGACAGGCAGGGCCAGTCGAGGCACCACCAGCTGGGGCCGGCTCACGTCCACACCGGGCAGGGTCACACGAGCCGAGTGGGCCAGCCGCTGGCAGCTGGCAGTGCGGTACACCTCCCAGCGGTACTCCGTCTGGTAGACGACGCAGTTACGCAGGTCGACGTGGGCTTCGAGGTAGTTGCGCTGCGAGCGTCTCATGGTGACCTGCAGCGGCAGGGCCACGTCCACCGCAGGCTCCTCGCAGGCCAGCACCTGGACGCTCACTGTGGCCTGCGCCACGAAGAAGCTCACCAGGTTGGAGGCATTCACCTGCACGCGGTAGTCCCCGGGCTGCAGGTAGGAGTGGTCAGCCCAGGGTTCCCTTGTGACCTGCACTGGAGCCCCATCCCCAAAGTCCCAGCGGTAGGCCACCCGTCGTGGGCTGGGACTTGTGGCAGCCTCAAAGTGAGCCGAGCGGTTGGTGAAGCAGCGGCCCCTGCGCAGCTCCACGTACTGGATGACGTCTTGTACCTCCAGGGCCAGCGTCAGGTTCACACCGCCCAGCGCGTTGAAGGCTCGCACATGGATCTCCAGGAGCCCCGCCGCCACGGGGGTGTAGGTGACGTCCCGGCCCGACAGGATGACCAGCGAGTCACCCTGCACCTTCTGCAGGGAGAAGTACCAAGCATAGGCGACACGGGAGCCCTGGTGCACACGTGCTGTGAAGTTCTGCTCAGTGCCCGTGGGGATGCCTGGCTCACAGCAGTGGGGCACCTGCAGCCCCACCACGGGCTCCAGCACAGAGACGCGCACCTGGGCCTGCGCCCGGCTCACATGGTTATCGGCCTGGACGCTTACCAAGTGCTCTCCGACCCAGGAAAAGCTGCGGGAAAAATAGGGCCCGGGAAGTACCTCGGGACCAGCGCCATCAACCAGCAGGCGGAAGGTGACGGCCGAGCCGGCAGCCAGCAGGATCTGGAAGTGGACAGGCTGCCTGGGCGCCGCCACCTCGCTGCTGGCCCACAGCACCAGGCCCACGATGGACTCTTCCACCGTGAGGTTGTGCATGGCTACAAGCCAGCTGACTGCGTTGGAGGCATTGAGCTTGATGGAGAAGGTGCTGGCCGTAGGGAAGCCCACGGCAACATGTTGGCCATACCTGCTGCCGCCAGGCACGTCCCAGCACCAGGTCACGTTGGTGCCTGCAGCCAGCTGCCCCGAGAAGGGCACGGTGGAACCAGCTGCCACAAAACTGCTGTCCAGGTCGCCAGCCTTGATCGTGAGACCTCTCACAGGCACCTGCACGGCCACCTCGACAGTGGCATTGGCCGTGCCTAGCTGATTCCATGCTGTGACCGTGACCCGGTACAGGCCGGATGTGGGAAAGGTGTGTGTGGTAGAGGGCTCAGGGGTCTCCCAGCTCAGTTCTTCACCCAAGGACCAGGAGTAAGTGACGCCACTGCCGCCGGCCAGCTCAGCGCGGAGGGTGACACTCGTGTTGACGGCAGCCGGGCTTGGGGAGGCGGCCACGGTGAGCCAGCCCACAGGCTCCACAAAGTCCACCGTGCGGTCGGCCAGGGCACTGCCCAGCATGTTGGTGGCCCGCAGCAGGATGTGGTAGGTGCCAGCCTGGAGCGCAGTTAGTGCAAAGCCCTTCCCACTGCCGGTGAGGGGCAGGCCACCCTCGCGCTGGGCAGTCCAGCTGTAGGAGATGTTGGTGCCCTCCCTGACGGCAGCCTGCAACTGCAGCGTGTGGTTGGTGGGGAAGCAGCAGGCGTCACCTCCGCCCAGCACCTGCAGCCCTTCGATGAGCTCCTGGACATAGATGAAGACGCTGTCCTGGGCGGCGCCCGCCTCGTTCTCTGCCGTGACGGTGATGGTGAAGGTGCCGACGGAGCGGAAGGTGTAGGAGATGGCGGGGCCCCCGGGGATGGGCGTGCAGCGGTCGCACAGCACCCACGAATAGCGCGCGTCGCTCCCGGCCTCCAGGGTGGTGCTGAAACTCACGCTGCCGTTCAGGGGCACCACCGTGCGGCTGGCATTTACACGCAGCCCCCGCACACGCTGCTTGACCGTGACGTTCAGCTGGGACTCGCTGCGGCTCACCTCGTTCCAGCCGGCCACCTTGACGGTGAAGTCGCCAGTGCTGTTGTAGCTGTGCACGACCTCAGGGCCCTGGAGCCAGGCCCCGTCCCCCAGCTCCCACCGGTAGGAAGCAGGGCGCCCGCGGCCTACGGCAGCCAACAGGTAGGGCTTCTGCAGCTCCAGCACACGAGAGCTGTTGACCCTTATGCCCGTGACCACCACGGGCTCCTGCACCTCCACCAGAGCCGAGTCATTGGCAGCAGACACGTTGTTGGACACGCACACAGTCACCAGGAAGGAGCCGGGCTCCCGAAAGGTGAATGCTGCCTCAGGGCCCCCAGCGCGGGCGGGGCCGGCATCCTGAGCGCCCGAGTCCCAGGTGTAGCGGTAGGGGAACGAGGGCCAGACGTGAGCCACCAGGCGGGCCTCGTCCCCAAGCCGCACGAACTGCTGCTGGGGCTGCAGGGTGACATTGCCCAGCTCGGGCTCCACACACACGCTCGTGAAGTAGTGTGCCTTGTTCACACGGCTCGACAGGACCAGCACCAGGGGAAACGTGCCGCTCCGCGTGAAGTTGTGGGTCACTGTGGGGCGCCCCCAGACGCTCGTGTTTGAGGAACCGTCCCCAAAGGTCCAGTCGAACAGGTAGTGGGCAGGGTCACCAGTGACGTGTGCCATGAGTTGTACGCCAGGCTGCGTGGGAATGCAGCCAGAAGGTTCAATGCGCAGCACCTCCAGGACAAAGACCTGCACGCGCACACTCCGGGCCAGGGAGCCGGCAGGGCTGGCCGCGCGCACGCTCACGGTGTAGTTCTGAGCCCGCAGGTACACGTGCTGCACCTTGGCCTCGGGGCCAGAGAACACCGTGCCGTCCCCCATGTCAAATGTCCAGGTGATGTTGTCGCCCGCCTCCAGGGTGGCATTCACCAGCACGGGGGCACCCTGCTCCACCGTGGGGCTGACCAGCACACTCAAGCCCCGGAGCTCGTCCAGGATGAGCAGGTCGGCGTGGGCTGCCACACTGCTTACCGTGTTGTTGAGCTCCAGGCGAACGCTGTAGCTGCCCCCATGGGCATAGGTGTGGCTGACTGCTGGCTGGCTCTGTGTCAGGATAGGGGAGCCGTCCCCCAAATCCCAGGTGTACAGGATGCCCCCAGGCGAGGGCAGCGGGCAAGGCAGGAAGGTGACGAGCCGGCCAGCCACCAAGACACTGCTGCTCATGCACAACGCCACTGAGGGCAGGGCGCTGCGCACACTCACGGGGACGCGATGTGTCAGGTTCTCGAAGGTGTTGGACACGAGGACCGTCAGGTTGTACTCACCTGTGCGGGGATAAGCCCTGCCTAGCACCCGGTGCTGAGGGGAGCATGGCCTACCTGGGAAACAGGCCCAGCCCACTAGGTCCCCAGGCTGCTGTCGGACAGCCAAGGCCAACCTCGCAGTTAGGGAAGTCAAGTAAGGCCACGGACAGGCCAGCAAAAGGCATAACCTGTGGCTTGGGGTGAGGACAGGGCCCCACAGGGCTTCTGCAGCTCTGACCTCCCATCTCCAACTTCCAACCACAGGTGAGAACAGGGCCCAGCTGCACAGCCAGGCCATGGGGAGGGGTGCCCTGCCTCACCTGGGCTGGTGTAGACGTGGGTGGCGCTGTGCTCCACCAGCACCTGGGCCACAGTAGGGTCTGGGACCTGGAAGAACTCATCATATGGCGGCTTGAACTGACCTGCCACCTGCTGCCCATCGCCAAAAGTCCACCTGCCAGGGCAGCGGACAGAACATGAGCAGGTGCCCGAGTCCCCATGCAGCCCTGCCCAGGCAACACCAGCACCCCAACAGAGAAGGAAGCCGAGATCCTGAGCAGCCCCTCTGGCTTGGCCCACAGCCAGCCAGTCACCAACTGGGATGAGAAGCTGGCGGCCAACCCTCTTGCCGTGCTGGGTCCGGGGGCACTCACTGGAAGGTCACGTCCACAGCCGAGTCCACCAGCACGCTGGCCGTCAGCTCTAAGGTGGTGTTGGGGGACAGCACGGCCGGCACTGCAGACACCTGCAGGCCGCACATCCTGTTCATGCGCTCCACAGTGACATTGTAGTTCACCGTCGCATTGCTCACATGGTTGGAGGCTGTCAGCTGCGGTCAGAGAGGTGGGCACCAGGTGAGGACAATGCCTGGGGCAGTCCCAGCCACGCCCACCTCCCTGTGCCTACCGAGAGCTTGAAAACGGCTGCGCTCTGGTAAATGACATTGAAGACCATGTTGTGGAAGGTCAGGGACTGCTTGTCGTCAATGGTCCAGCGGAAGGTCACGTTGGAGCCGGCCTCCACCACAGGGCTGTACCTCTACACCAGTGGGGGCGGGACATCAGCCACGCCCAGCAGCACTTGAGCTGACTCCACCCTTGGTTCCCGCTGGGCTGCCAGAGAGCCCCCACACCGGTGTGCACCACAACAGACACCCACAGGGGAGGCATGAAGCTGCCCAGGCTGAGCTCGGGCCCTGACAGGGTCAAGCTCCAGGTGTGCGGCTGTGGTCACACCAACGGTGCCCTTGCCCCAGTAAGCTGGGCCTCTCCAGCAGCAGGCACCCCATCTCAGACCTCACAGCCAATGCCAGCAGTACTGCTGGGTTCCCAAGGGGATGACAGGACACGCCCACACAGCTCAATTTGGGGCTGTGGGAGACATACTCCAGGCAGGGACATGCCCACCCCCCGAGTGACATCAGGGACAAGAATCCGGCATACAACTGCTTGCGGTGGCCCAGAGCGTGAAGAGCTGCTTCAGAAACACATCAGGCAAGCGGCAGGTTTTTGGGGCAGCCAGTGCCCCAGAAGCCCTGTGCCCAGAAGCCAGGCACTGGCTGGCACATGTGCCCCCTGCATCCTGTCTAGGGGCCATACTCACCACCAGGACGCCCTGTAGGACACGGTTCTCGGGGCTGGGTGAGGCGTGGAGGCCTCGGATGGGCTCCTCAGCAGTCAGCCGCAGGCTGAGGTTGGCATGGCTGGCATTGTTCTCAGCTACAACCTGCACCGTGTGCTCACCCTCCCGCAATGCGGGCAGCGCCAGCACTGCGAACAGGGTATCATTGGTCTCCTGAACACAGGCGGGCACGAGGGCGGCTGTGGTGGCAGGGCAGGTGGCCATGAACGGGGCGCTGACACTGCCCCCAGCCCAGCGAGCTGTGGCAGTGGCGTTGGCTCCGGAGTCCACCTGCAGCAGTAGCACAGAGCCGCCGGTTGGCATGTACAGTTGGCCATCCTGGGTGGCAGGGTAGGTGACGCGCAGCCCAGTCACCGGGGAGACCACATCAAAGCTGCAGGACAGGTTGTGTCTGGACACGGAGTTGCCCACCGTGGCCTGGACCTTGTAACGCCCGGGCCGTGGCAACCCAGGGTTGGGTGTCAGACCCAGCAGTGGGGTAAGCTGCTCTGTGGCCGCAAGCAGCCACAGGGCACAGGTGCGGCCGGCCGGAGAACCCTCCAGCTTGGGAGGCAGGTGGGCCAGCCAGGCAGAGGAATTGGTGGAGAAGTAAGGGGTCTCGAGGCCAGGGTGGCTGGGTGCTAGGGGGCAGCGCAGGAAGGCACCGGGTCCAGCATCATGTTGCAAGCCGACGAGGTCCCCAGGGAGCACAGGGGCATCCTGGTCGCTGAAGGAGACCTGCAGAGGGAGGCAGGGCCGCATCACGGCACCAGCCAGGGGAGGGGAGGGCAGAGGGCGGGGACAAGGCCTCCGGGGTCTGAGCCAGGACAAGGCTCTAGGGTCCCCAGCAGCACTGAGTGCTGGTGCTGGCAGAGACCCACATGACAGCCACACGCAGGTGGGGAGGGTGGCCCTGACTGGAGAAGACCCAAAGGGCCTGAGAAACGAGACGTGAGGTGGGGAAGCGGGGCTCCCAAGATGCCCCGAGGGAAGGGGCGGGCGGGAAATGAGCTTGGAAAGCTGGGGAGAACCGCATCTGGGCATCCAGTGTGAAGACCCAGAGCCTGGCCAGCCGAGTGGCAGGATCCCACGGAGACTCAGCCAGGACACGCACCGAGTAGTACGCAGGAGGCCCCGCAGGAACGGCCAACAGGAACTCCCTCCACAGCACGTAGGCGGCCGCGGGGCGCCAGAGCCCCGATGCAGACCTGTTGGCACAGTCCCGAGGAAGGCAGCCTTGACCGCCAGGGCAGCTGCATCCCTCAGTCAGGCCCTCCGTGGCTGGCTGCAACTTGTTCTCCAGGGACCTGCTTGCAGGCTCAGTGAGGTTCCCCGAGGCTCCTGCAAGCAAGGGAGCAGGGCATGGCCCCGGATGATGGCGGGCCCACGCTGCAGTCTCCCCCAGCACCGCATGTCCTGCCTGGACGCCAGGCCAGAGGTCACGGCACAGGCCTACAGACCTGTTCTGTCCACCTTGAGCTGGCGGCCAGCAGACGTGAGGTGGCTCAGAGGCCATGCTGAGCCCCCAACTCCTAGCACCAGCAGGAGCCCCACCTTCTGCTCCCGAGGGCCGGTACACCTGCAGCCGTAGCTGGACAGGCTGCCTAAGCTCCAGCGTCTCAAATTCCACCGCGGTGAGGAAGGCTTCCCGGCGCAGGTGCAGGCCCGGGAACACCATGACCTGGTGGCACAAAGGGGCTGCCTCAGCTCCCACCCTGCTTGGCCCCGGTCTAGGCTCCCCATGCCCCAACAGCTACCACCAGCCAGATCACCACATCCATGGTGCAATTTCCCATCAGTGGGGAGGAAGTCAGGCGGAGCCCACACACAGCAGCAGGATTCCTGGCTGTTTTTATGCCACCTTTTTTGGTGGCTTCCCATAGCCTGCCCTGGGCCTGGATGTGTCCTGCATATGGCTAGATGGTTCCAGGACAGGGAGGTCCCAGTCCTGGGGCAGAGCGAGTCAGGGTGCCTCACCTCCACAGGCTCCCGGGGCACTTGGAGCATGCTCTGTGATGCCAGCAGTCTTGGGGGTCCCTGTATCTCCCCACTGGGCATGCCCACGAGGAAGTTCTCAGCGTCCCACACAGGGCCTGCGGGTAGCGAGTGTGCAGTGAGATGCAGGTCCTTGGGTGAGGACAGTGGTGTGTGCGAGGGGAGCCAGGGCAGCCAGCCCTGGGCTGAGGCAGCCAGCACTGCCCCCGCCACCCCACCCCTGTTCTCTCTGGCCTCAGCCCAGGCACAGCACAGATCTGCAGGTCCCCCCCAGGGAGCTCCAGGGAGCCCCCATGCTCCCCGGCAGCCCCGCACCTCCAGGCCGCAGCTCGCAGACGTAGCTGTGTGGGGCGGAGCACAGGTCTGTGTTGCACTGGCCGGCAGATCCAAGCCGTACACAGTGCTCGGCCGTGGCTGGGTGCGGCTCCCCGGGCAGCCAGTTCTGGCAGCTCTCCAGGCTGAAGGCTGAACCTTGGGTGGCTGCGCCTGCCTCAGCCCCTGCTCCCTCAGCTGCCGAGAAGCCAATCCACACGTCCAGGTTCCTGTGGGCAGCGACAAGGAACTCAGAGTGCTCGGGCCAGGAGCTGGCTGCAGCCTGACCAGGCCTGAGCCACCCACACCTTCAGGGGGTCTGGAGGGGCCCCGTGGGCCGCTCAACGCTCCTGCAGGGTCAGCATCCTCTCCTGGAAGCAGGCTCGCCAACACACACCTGCACGTGCATATCAGGGTGCACAGCCAAGGCTGCCCAGGCGCCCACGTGGACAGGCCCCTGCTTTCACGGGCGCCCTGAGAAGGGCCTGTCTGCTCGAGCCTGCTTCCCCGCTTAGGGGCCTCGAGAAGAGGTGGCGTCTAGCCCCAATCCTCATCAGAGAGCAACGGGATCCTGCTCCCCGCAGCAAGGGGGCTAGCTGAGGAGCAGCAGGCTGTCGCTGCAGCTGCACCAGGATTGAGGCTGTGGGGTCTGGGGTCCTCCCCTGGAGGGACGAGCGAGGCCACCAAGGGCCAGGCTTTCATCCCAAGAAGGCCCACAGCAGCTGCTCCCCTACTCTGTGCACTTGCTGGGCTGCCACGAAGGTCCATCTGCCTCTGCTCCTGAATCGTCCCAAGTCCTGGGCCTCTACCCAGATCCTGGGGACCCCCTCCCTCCTCTGGCTTCCCTGAGTGGGTAGGCAAAGTACCTGGTAACTTGGGAGACCAAGAAGCTCTGGACTGCAGGACTGTCCACCATGGCCAGAGCGGCCCCGGCCCAAGCTCGGCACTGCTCCTGTGCCTGCAGCCAGGGCGCCTTCTCGGCCACCAGGCGGTAGCAATGCCCGTTGTCAGAGAAGACCTCCGTGTCCGAAGAGCAGAGTGGGTGCACCACTGGGGGCAGCAGACATGAGCAGGGTTCAGCATGTGCCTGAGGCCAGGGTGCCAGTGTTGCTCCCCCAACCCTGAGCCTGATGTAGCAGAGAGCGAGGGCGACCAGGGCCAGGCAGGGAGGCACCCACCTTGAGCCGGCTCCTCGCCCAGGGCCATGATGCTATAGGTGGCCTCGAGGCCTGAGCCCCCACGGTTCTGGACTCCAAGCTTGAGGCTCTCATTACTGCGCACCAAGGATGGGCACACGAGCCCCAGGGCAGCAGGTGCTGCCTCCACCCACACTTCTGTGCCCAGCATGGCAGAGCCAGCCCCCAGGGCCAGCAAAGCCGTCACGTGATAGTGCCCTGGCAGCAGGTAGCGGTGGGTGGTGGCTGAGCCAGCCGTGTCTGTCTTGGGGGAGCCGTCGCCGAAGTCCCAGCGCGTGGATTGGATGGGGAGGGGGGCGGTGATGTGGAAAGCTGCGGGCCAGCCAGAGGCCAGGGGTCCACGGGGCCCCTCCAGGACAGCCCCTGGGGAGGCAGGGAAGACATGCTGGAGCAGGCTCGGGCCCCCACAGGCAGGGCTGGGAGAAGGTGGGGAGCTGGAGCACAGGGACAGGCAGGCCAAGGAGGTGTTGAGGGGCTGGGGCGCCCCACACAGGCACTCGCCCTGCTCTGAGAGGGCTGCCAGCTCGTGGCCAGTGGAGAAGCAGAAGGCGCTGCAGGTTTCAGGGGCCAGTTGTCCTCCGCGCGCAGTGAAGGCTGCAGTGGCTACCGTGCCCGAGCTGCTGACTGGGAGGCAGGCGACGTACTTCTCACCTGGAAGAGGCAGCCAGGTTGCTCGCCCCCTAGCCCCCCAGCACACACAGGGCACCCCAGTTCCCCCCACCTCAAGCCTGACCCTGCAAGACTAGGCCAAGTCCCACGCAGCAGGAAAGACAGAGCTCGCACTCACCACAGCCACCATCCAGCAAGGAGGTGCTGAGCAGCGGCTGACCAGCCAGGGGGGCCGGCCCCGCACATGTGGCCGCATCCGGCTGGACCACACGAACCTGCTGCTCCTCCAGCCAGCGTGGCAGCCATGCCAAACCACAGCCACACTCGAATGGGTTCCCGCCCAGGTTTCTGCAGGAAGGGGAGGGGCGGAGGAGTAGGGCAGCTAGGAGGTCTCTGGCTGCCCGCAAGGTCTCAAACATGGGAGGGGCTGGGCCAGAGGTGCAACCCACCAAAAGCACGGCAACTTACATTTCACTTAAGTTAAATAAATTAACAAATGTTCCTTCTTCCAACGCAGAAATCTTATTGCTGCTTATGTCCCTGAGAGAGAGAGAGAGAGAGAGCAGGACTGGCAGGGTCGGGGCAGCCCCGTAGCTAGGCAGTGGCAAGGGGCCGCCGGGGAGACAGGGCACAGCGGGGCAGGGACTCACAGCTCCACCAGCGCCGAGAGGTTGGCCAGGAGCTCAGCGTCCAGCGCCCGGAGCAGGTTGTGGGAGAGGTCCCTGTGGAGCAGAGCAGCCCCGGGTCAGGCTGGAGCCCCACAGGCCCCGGAAGCTCCCTGGCATCTCCAGCCCACTGAGCCCCTTACTCCAGCAGCTGACAGGGGGTCCTTCCAATGCAAGACACAGACGAACACTCCTCCAGAGAAACCAAGGCGAGGGCTGGGGTCCCTCAGCACACTGACTTGCCAATCCCAGAGACCTGCAAGGCACTGCCCATCCTTACCCCACATTACCAGGCCTGGCTCCACCCACCCTCTCCACTAGGGCCAGCATTCAACAGTGGCCAGCTGCTGGTGGGTGCCATCTCAGATGGGGCACGAAGATCAGATAAATGGGGAAAAGGTACATATGAACCCCAATAAAAACTTCACATTGCAGATCAGAGCATCTGGGCAAGTCCTGGCTCTCTGCTGATGCAAACTTCAGAGGCAGCCACGTCAGCTAAGTAACAAAGTCCCTGCCGCCCAGTGACAGCTCCCCAGCTCCCCGCGCCAGCCAGCAAGGGTGTTTGGGAGGTGAGCCAGGGGTTGCAAGCCCACTTCCCCTTGAGATACATAAATAACTCAACATGTACTTCTGTGCTAGACAGGCAGAGCGCTGGGAGGCAGGGCCAGGGGTCTTCCCTTTCCGAGTTCAGCCTGCACAGCAGGAGCTGAGTCAGGTGGGATCCAGGAGCCGGGAACTCTGTTAACCACAGGTGGTGGCAGTGCCGAGGCACTTGGCCACCTCCCTCTGCCTTCCCAGAGCGTCAGAGCGGGGGCTCCCACCAGCTCTCGAGCACTGCATCAACCTGCTGCACCACAAGTCACTCTTAAGAAACAGGCAGTTAACAGAGAAGCACAAACGGGGAAATCACTCCGTTTCAGCAGCTGGAGAAATGCCAATGCAAACGATACAGCTGCCTTCCTCAGCTACCCAAGCTGTGAGCCTGTTGGAGGGCAGGTCCCCAGGCAGGGACACAGAACAGAACAGCCAGGCTGCAGCCCATGGCAGCAGGCGCTAGCTCGGCCCAGCCTGGGGAACCGGGGCCTTCCCAGTGGCACGCTCCTATCTACAGCCCGGCGGCCCTCTGCTCCAGAACCCACCGACGGGTTCTGGGGAGGCCATGGCCATTCCCCCAGCTACCTCCGGGCACTTCCCTGCTCCACACACTCCGGATACCCAGGTTCAGCACAGCCCCCGGGCAACCCCCACCGTGACAGTGACACCACAGGGCTGTGCAGGTCTGTGCGTCACAGCCGGAAGGCCCGGGCCTCTGGCCACACAGCTCTGCCCACCCACCGGCCTTCATCCTCCCAGCTGCTGAGGCCACAGGCCGGGGTCAGCACAGCCAAAGCCTGCTCAAGCCTCTGTCCCAGGCACCACCTGGACCCCTGTCTCATGTACTCCATCCAGGAGTTCCCTAAGAAGGACAGAGGCTGCCCGCGGGGGCCTGTGGCAGGACAAGCAGCTCCAAGGTGAAGCCAGCCCTCCCACCCTCACCCTGCAGGTCTCGCAGGTGGGCCCGGTGGCACACGAAGCACCCGTGGACAGAATGCTGAGACCGTTCTCAGGGCCTCCCAGCCTTCTTGCACATTCTAAGTCCTTCCCCCAGGCCGTGGGCAGACAGAGTACATAAGCCCCGTGGTCTAGGGGCAGAGCGACATGTGGGAACCCTCTGGCAGTCACTGCCATCCAGCAAAGCCTGGCTTCCCGCTTGCTCCTCGCGCACACAGAACGGAGCATGGGCCGAGGCCCTCATGGCTGGTCATTAGGGCGGCAGGCCCACAGCGGCTGCCGGGACCTCCACACCACCCCCTGAGGTGAGAAGGAGATGTGGAAGAGCCACTTCTGTGGTGGGGTGAGATGACCACGGGCCCACGTGACAACTGTGACAGACCACGGTGGTGCCACAAACACTGTCTTCCCATGGCGGCTGAGCTGTGAGCAAGGATGGGCTGCCTGAGGTCCGAGACTTCCTGGTGCGGGAGCTGGCACAGGTCCCCAGTCCCAACCACCCCAACATACAGAGGGCCCACAGCCTGGACCCCAACGCAGGGAGTAAGAAGGCCTCTTGAGAAACATACCTCGGGTTAATGTGGGAGCTGAGACAGCATGGGGCGTCCCAGTGCCCTCCTCCAGCAACCAACAGCCAAGCTCATCCCCCAGCACTCCCCAAGAGGTCCTGGAAAAGGGGGTGCCACCCTCTGGGTCACCTGGACCCTACAAGGTCCCCCAAAGACCAAAATTAGCAATCCTAGAGACTTGAGGCCAAGGCTAGAAGGGCTCAGGTGAGGTCGGGGTGAGCTGAGCTGCTGACCATAAGCAGGGGAATGAACGGCAGCGTGAGAAGACGTCGGCTGCAGCCGGCCAGTGCCCGCCCACAGCTCCAGGATGTCAGCCCCAGGGCCACAAGGGTAGCCCTGTCAGGCAGGGTTCCCTTTCCAGTTCTGAGACAGGCATTGCCTCAATGCCCAGCAGTCACTCCGGAGCCCGCTCTCCGCAGCCCTGTTGCTTCAGGGTGTCCCTTGGACTGCCCCCGACACCTCACAGGACTTCCCTGTGTACCTTGCTCCAACCTCGCCTGTTAAAAGCAGGAATTGGGGGCCTGGCGGCGTGCCCTAGCAGCTTTAAGTCCTTGTCTTGAACGCCCTGGGATCCCATACGGGTGCCCGGTTTCCTGTCAGCCTCACTTCCCATTCAGCTCTCTCCTTGTGGCCTGGGAAAGCAGTCAAGGACGGCCCAAAGCCTTGGGACCCTGACCCACGTGGGAGACCCAGAAGAAATTCCTGGCTCCTGGCTTCAAATCGGTGCAGCACCGGCCGTTGCGCTCACTTGGGGAGTGAATCATCGGACGGAAGATTTTCCTCTCTATCTCTCCTCTTCTGTGTATGTCTGACTTTGTAATAAAAATAAATAAATCTTAAAAAAAAAAAAAAGCAGGAATTGGGAGGTGGGAGCTCCCACTTTCAAAGCGGCACAGGACTCAGCCCTCCAGGGCAGGAAGGACGCTGGGATGAGGCATGGTCAAGCAGTGCAGGGGCAGCTGGGGTGGGGGTGGGAGGAGATGAGAGGGGCCAAGCTCAGGTGGGCCCCGCGAGGATGCAGGATGCTGCCATGTTTCCTAAGTTCCAAGGGCTCCCGGATCCTCGTTCACCCCACAGCTGAGCAAAGGAACCTACCCCGCACAGAGCAGCCAAGGGGAGAGCCCTGGGTGCCAGCTCTCCAGCCCGGATGCCGGGTGGGGTCTGGGGGCTGACTGCACATTCCAGACGCGTGTGGTCAGCGGCGCGGGCGCAGGCCAGGCCCAGCACCCCCGCCCTGGCGCTGGCGGCCACGCTGGAAACAGGCTTGGGGACGGCTGTGAGGGCCGCCTGCGCGTGTTATGGAAGCGCTCCATGCACGGCAGGGAGGGGCCCACTCACCCTCCAAGGCCCCAAGCTCTCCAGAGAAAGCAGGTTCCCCCTCAGCCCGCTAGGGGCATGCCCCACACGGTCCCTCCCGGACCCCAGCAGGAGAGAACAGCCATGGCGAGGGTCAAGGCAGAGCGGACAGAGCACTCCCCAGGCCGCCGACGTCCCCTAGTGGGCTTTCCTTCCAGGCGGCCAGCAGCCGGAGCCAGCTGGAGTCCAATCACCTCATTCTGTTTTCATTCTCATCTACTTATGGTGAGCAAGGCTGGCTTCCAGGGCCGGAAATGATGTTTAAATTAATGAATTCAAGTTCAGGGGAGAGAGCGAATTTGAAGAAACACACGCAGAGTGTGCTGGTGGAGAGGCGGGCAGAACAGGGGGCTGCGCCCACCCTGCCTCTCCAGAGGGGGGAAAGGTCTGCCCACCCAGCCCACCCTGCCCCCAGGCGAGGAGAGAGAGCTTGATAACAGAAGGGAAAAGCCCAAGCCTGAAGGGTCCGGCATGAGAGCCTCGGGCAGAAGGTGGACCCGCCCTGTGACAGCTGGCAGGGCAGGCCCCACAGCAGGGGCAGGGACAGCCAAGCCAGCGGGGTGGACAGCCCACCAAGGACTTGCTCTAGCTCTGCCCACATGCGAGCAAGAGCACTGAGGGCGGTGGGGCAGAAAAGGACAACCTGTGGCCCTGGTCAGCCCCAAACCACCTCTGAGCACCCGTGCAGGGCAGGCCTGGCTGCTGCAACCAGCAAGGGCACCAGCTCTCCAGACAGCAACCTGAGGCTGGGGGACTGGGGGACTCCACCTCTCTCCTCCCCCAGCCACAGGTAGCCAGCAGGGTCCGGCAGAAGGAAAGCCAGGCCTCACGAGGGTAGCGGGCACGTGGCTTCCCAAGGGCGCAGCGTGAAGCCACCTGACTCAGACGGCCCAGGGTCCTGAGCACTTCTTTCCGAGCTCCTCCGACCAGGCTGGCCCAGCCAGGGAAGAGGAGTCTGCCTGGCCTGGGGACAAAGCCCCTCCCCTGGGGGCCTCCAGGATCCCACCCACCTGCAGAGCCAGTGCCAAGCCCAGCCTGAGGCAGCCTCGGTCCCCATGCAGCCCCTCCACAGGGCCCCCTTGGCAGAGGCAGCTGCCAGGCCGAGGCACTAAGTGTTCCCAGAAAGGACATGAGCTGCATTTTCCAGCTGCTTCTCTCTGTGCCTGGAGAGGCGGGCCAGGCCCGGGCTGGGGCAGGCAGACCCGCCGCCGCCACCCAGACAGCAGCAAGGGAAAGAAGCGGGATGTGTTCATTCCACAGCACTAGGCGGCCGGCCTGGCTGGCTCCTTCTGCTGGCGCTGGCCACCACAGAATGTTCCGGAAAGGAAAATCTATGTCTCCATCCAAAATGGCTTCCGTTGAAATCAAACCCCTGCCAGGGTCTTCCTTGGGGGATCCATGCCCCAGGGTGGGGATAAAGTTATAGCCAGCAGAGCCACCCTGTGCCCCAGGAAGAGCCCAGGGAAGGCTAGCGAGGCACGGCCCGCATCTGGTGGGGACCACCATCCACTCAGTTCTCAATATGGCGGCCAGTGCAAGCTGGCTGACGGGAAGGAGAAGGCGTCACCAGGAAACCCACATGGCGGCATCCCCGGCTGGGAACAGAGGAGCAACACAGGCTGGGCATAGCTTCTCCAGGAAGCACCAAACACGCGTGCCCACCACAGGTGCAAAGTGGCTCCACGTGTGACAGCATCACATGGCTCTCTTGGCAGGCACGCCAGAGAAGTCAGGCAGCTGCCACACCACCTGAGGTCCCAAGAACAAGCAGAGGAGAGAGGGTGGACGGACCAAGTGCTGTTTGTCACTCGGCATTACACACACACACACAAAGGAACCACGATGAAAGCCCACGAGGGAGGACTGGCGGTGTGGCATGGCAGGGAAGGCCATCACCTACAACACTTGCTGGCATCCCGTATGGGTGCCACTCTGTGTCCCGGCTCCTCCACTTCTGAGCCAGCTCCCTGCTAACGGCCTGGAAAGGTAGTGGGGGACGGCCCACATGTTTGGGTCCAACACCCACATGGCAGACCTCGACCTGGCCCAGCAGTGGCAAGACCTGCTCTGCCCTCTCCCCCTCGGGTGTTATTGTGTCTGCCTGCCTGCACAGAGGGATAAGGCCTCACCTCTGAAGAGCGTGGACATGTGCCCAGGGGTGCCCGGCTCTCCAGACCCTAGCTGGCAGGAATGACAAGGGGCAAGCACCTCAGACGAGTGGGTGGGAGTGGGATTAGAACCAGCAAGGCCAGGGCGAGGGCAACAGTGGGCCTGTATTCTTGTTATAATCACTGCTCTCACCGAGCTGCAGGTGCCATAGGTGTGAGCCGCAGGCAGGCAGTGCGCAGGTGTCTCCTTGCCATGGCACACACCCTCATGCCGACAGCTCTGCGGCTGGCGTGCGCCCACCTGCACACACTTCAGTGCCCTGGTCAACATGCACTCTTTATCTAAGAAGCTCACGGCACTCATGTGGGGGCAGCCAGCCAGGTGTGCAGGCCAGTGTCCTTCCCCACACCTCTGCAGGCCAACCACACTGCTTTCCTTAGAGACCCTGTCACGCCACCCCAACTGGTTCTCCCACTCCACAAAGGCCTTGCCCCTCAGAAACCCCGCAAGACTGCCCCTTCCCACGGAGAACTTCTCACTGCCCCTGGAGTCCTGGCTGCCACATCACCTGCCCACAGTCCCTCTAAGCCAGGCCCACCTCTAGCCCGTGGATTTAACACAGGCTCCTGCTGGGTGACAGTCCCAGGTTGGGACTCACAGACCCTGGCAAAAGGCTGGCATACAGCACCCGGGTCCTCCCTCAGCAGAGGCAGCACATGCCTCGGCCGTGGGGACAGCCCCCAGCCTTCATGCTCAGGCCACAGAGACAGGAACCAAGAGGCCCTGCTGCCCGGCCAGTCCCCAAGCCAACAACACACAACTGCCATGGCAGGTACACGTCCAGCCCAGACATCTGCACACAGGGCCCGGGGACCTTCTGCCACACACACATACACACACGGGGAGCAGGGGACAAGGCCCCAAGAACTCCTTAAGTTCCCCAGACTTTAGGTCACGAAGCCAAGGACCAGGAGGAGGGTTGCCAACACGCACGAGACCACACCTGGTCAGCACCACTGGTCACCCAGAGTGCCCCGCGGCCCAGGCCCGGCTCCCACCACACAGCCCTGGGAACCGCCACCAACCTCCAGCAATGCTGGAGGGCACAGACAGACATGCCTGCCACCAGAGGGGTGGTACAGAGACCACCAGGGACCTAGGGGGCAGGACCAGAAGGGACAGGAGGCCCACACAATGAGACACGACCCAGACCCAGATGGCGATTGCTGCCAGAGGTGTGTCTGGGGTGCTGTGACTCACGCCAACAAGCAGGTCAAGTAGTGTTCAAGCCACAGGGAGGGGAGACTGTACACAGGGGTCGTCCTGATGAACGCCTCAACTTAAGCTCAGCATGGCAGGACACTTCCCCAGTCACACCCACATTCTGAAGTCACCGTCCCCTAAGACAGGCTGCAAGGCAGAAGCCCAGGCCTTCACCCCAGGGAGCCAAAATCGCAGGGGTGCCCGTCTGAGCCCACACCAGCTGCGGGACATCAGTCCCTGTGCCCATATCCAGGTCCGGGGAGAGCCCCTGGGGAACATGGAAATCACCCTGATGGCCCACAGTCACGCCAGGCCAGTGGTTGCCAAAACTTAACACCAGCTAACACCGGAGATTACAGGCACGTCAGGCTCAGGGTGGCTCCTGGACCGGGCCAGAGTGCCCCCAGAGCAACGGGGCCAGCAGGGACAGCGGCTCCTACCAAGTGCTGGTGCGGATCTGATGCAATTCTGCAGTGTCAGGACAGGCAGAAGGGGCCGTCCTCACAGGACATGCCACCACACGGCCACCGTGCCACCAAGGCCTCTGGGTCAGCCAGCAGGCAGCAGAGCTCCTCCCATGAGCCAGCTGCAGTGTGTCCATGCCCCACCAAGTGCTGGCTGAGGAGCTGGAGGACCCCCAGGGATCCACCTCACTGGATGAGGCGGGGATCCTGAGCCACAGCTGTCTGCGCCTCGGCTCCTCACGCCCTTCCAAGGCTGCGTCCTGGGCACCTCACCGCGCCAAGCCCCTCTGTTCTGCCCCATCCGGACTGCGCCTGCTGGGACGTGTCCTCAAAGGTGAGGGGTCAGGGCACGCGTGTCAATCTGCAAAAGCCTGGTACATGGCACCTTCCTGCCAGTGCTTCCTCCGGCTTCGAAAAGCCCGATGCACCCAGGGCGCTGGACGCCCACCTCCTCACAGCTGGCCCGGTCCAGCCCGCGAGCCTTCGCCCCACAGCGCTCCCGCCCCTGCCTCTGGACCGTCCTCCTTGCCCCTTGGCAAGCGCCAGGCCTGCCGGGCCACCATCCCCGGGGTCGCGCCTGGGCAGTGCCCGATGCCGCTGTCACCGGGCCCGGATCAGCTCCGACTGCCGGACCCCGCGGAGGTTTTCAGGGAAACGCTCAGCGCCGCGCACCGCCGGCGGCTCCAGGTTTTCCTTATTTAGTCGGCGGACGTCTCACCCCGGGAGCCGCCTGGCCTGAGGCCCTTCCCTTCCGGAGGCGGCAGCGCGCCCACGCCCCGAGAGCCCGCCCGGTCCCCCGGAGCCCGCGCTCGGTCCTGGCGGCGATGCTGTCGGCCCCCCAAACCCCTGACTCCCCGACCGCGGGCGGCATGGCAACGCCCGCCCGCGCCCGGCTACTCACAGAGCTGTGGCGTCCGCGGGGATGCGCAGCGCCGGCTCCAGCGTCCGCAGCCCGCGGCCCGAGCAGTTGACGCGGCAGGCGGCCCCGGGCGCTGGGCTGCACAGGCAGGGGGACGGGCACGGCCCGCAGCCGTGCCCGGGGCCCCCCGCCAGCGCCCCGAGCCACAGGCCCAGGCCCAGGGCCAGCGCCAGGCGGGCGGGCGGCATCGTCAGCGCAGCGCGCGCATGGCCCCGGCCAGCGCCGAGGCCCGCCCGCGCGCAGGCGGCCGCGTTCAGGGCAGGCCCGCGGACGGCATGTCGGACTGCGAGGCGTCTCGGGTGGCGGCCGCGGCCTGTCTGCGCTCCGGGCCAGGCCGCGCTCCGGATGGCCGGCCGCCCGCTGGCGCGCTCGCGCTGCAGTGCGGCCCCGCGGGCTCCGCCTCCTCCCGGCCGTGAGACGCGCGGGGGTGGGGCTGCGCCGGGCCCCGCCCCCTGCGCCGCGGGTGGGCGGGACCGAGAGGGCCCCGTGGTGGGCGTGGCGGGGCTCGGCTCCACCCCCACGCTCTACGTCGCGGGCGGAGGCGGAGCGAGGCCGGAGCAGGTGCCTGTGCCCTCCACCCGGCCGTGGCCTGCGGCCCGCTCCTGGTGCACCCGCCGCACGTCCCTGCAAACCCACGGAGGAGACGCCTGGCTGGCTGGGTGGGAGCTGGGCGAGGGCCCCAGGGTCTCTACGAGCCCTGGGTAGTTGCACAACTTAAGTGAGCAGTGAAGGTAGCATGCAGGCTGCAGCACGCGGCCACACCCCGCAGGCCGACTAGACGCCACGGAATGCATCTTATTGAAATAACCCAAAGCAGACCGCAAGGTTGGAAGAGACACGTGGGGGAAAGGGCGAGTGACAGCTAAGGGCTAGGGGTTTCCTCGGGAGATGAGGAAATGTTCTGGAACGATACAGTACAGTCTTATAAAGGCACTAAAGTCCCTTGGACTGGGCAGTTGGACAGAGCAAAGAGATTATGGCATGCCAAGGGACTTCTGTCTTGAGCTTGAAGGGACACCCATGAGGATAAGTGGGGTGAGGATGAGTCTTTGGGGCTCCAGGTCGGTGCTTGGCGCCCCCACCATAGAGCACAGCACAACGCATGGCTAGCAGCACCGCATGAGCAGCACTCATGACCTAACCCCACCCTTGTAGGACTTAGCCAGCGGTTACAGGCATGCAATAAAGCAAGGGGGCATGGGCTAGAGAAGGCCCAGGACCTCAGGGAAGCTCCCCTGTTAATTACCCACTAACCCACTCAGGTCTCCTCTGGGCTGGGGGGTGTACTAGCAATGGGAGGAAAGGCATTGAGTGTGAGCGGCAGCCAGAAGCACTCACACCCCCTTGCATTCTCAGTACCTATAGCATCAACCTCGACCGAGTGAGATCATGGAGGTGCCAGGAGGGTAGAAGATCTGCCAAGTCCCACAGCAGCCAATGACAGGACTAGGATTAGATCCCAACCTCAACCTTGTAACTGCATGCCAGGCTGGCGATGAGCGGTGGACAGTCTGCCCACAGATACACCCACTGGAAACAGCAGTGGCAACATGAGTGGGCCATGAGAAACCGTGGAGGACACGGCCATTGTTTGGGAACCGAAGACGTGTTTGAGAAGCAAAGTTTATAATCAGGAAATGAAATCCCAGACTACTTCAACACAGGCTGTGGTAAGCAGGAAGCAGGATGTGCCCGGGAGTCTGATTCTGGCAAGGAGACATTGGAGGGAGCTGAATTCACTTTTCAAAAATGTATGTGAAATGATCTTCATTTTGCTGAAAGAGGTCTCCCAACCAATGGACCACTTCCCAAATGCCCGCCTCCACCAGGATGAAACCATCCTGAAGCCAGGAGCTCGGGCTCCAGGCAGGTCTCTCACAGGTCTCAGCCCAGGTACTCCAGCAGGGGATTCAGGGTCCCACACTGAGCCACTCAACCCCAAAGTCCATGGCTGAATACTCTGTGAGGTCTGGCTCATTAACATGGAAGTACAACTGCTAGCATCAAAGCAAAGGGGATAAGGAAATGATTTGTGCAGGCATTCTGCCCGCCAGTGACCACGCTGGCCAGGCTCCTGCTGCCCGCGAGTGCAGACCCTGCCACCTGCACTGCTGACCAATGCAATAAAAAAAAAATAAATCTTTAAAAAATGTAAGGAACCTTTAAATAAACAATAATGATAGGACAGTCAGTGTAGGACACAGCATGCACCCCTCATGTTCTCAACACTTGGAGGGGTCAGATGTTTTGATAACACCGATATCTCAGAGGGATCAAAGTGGGCTCTTAGATAACACCGCCCCCTAGAGGTTCCCCAGGGCCTTGTGGTGCCACCTCTGAATCCAACCCCCAGGAGCTAATGCCAGGTACCCCATGTTAATGCAGAGGCCGGACCAGCTGCCCACAGGGGGTCTGAGGACAAGGTTGGAGACGCCTTTTCTTCTTCTTCTTTTTTTTTTTTAGATTTATCTATTTTTGGGCCCGGCGCGATGGCACAGTGGTTAAGGTCCTCGCCTTGCACCGGGATCCAATATGGGCGCCGGTTCTAATCCCGGCAGCCCCGCTTCCCTTCCAGCTCCCTGCCTGTGGCCCGGGAAAACAGTCAAGGACGGCCCAAAGCTTTGGGACCCTGCACCTATGTGGGAGACCCGGAAGAGGCTCCTGGCTTCGGATCAGCATAGCATTGGCCGTTGTGCTCACTTGGGGAGTGAATCATCGGACAGAAGATCTTCCTCTCTGTCTCTCCTCTCTGTATATCCGCCTTTCCAATAAAAGTAAAATAAATCTTAAAAAAGAATTTATCTATTTTTAATTGCAAAGTCAGATATACAGAGAGGAGGACAGAGAGGAAGATCTTCTGTCCAGATTCACTCCCCAAGTGAACGCAAGGGTCGGTGTTGTGCCGATCTGAAGCCAGGAGCCAGGAACTTCTTCCAGGTCTCCCACACGAGTGCAGGGTCCCAAGGCTTTGGGCCGTCCTTGACTGCTTTCCCAGACCACAAGCAGGGAGCTAGATGGGAAGTGGAGCTGCCGGGATTAGAACCGGCGACTATATGGGATCCCAGGGCGTTCAAGGGGAGGACTTTAGCCGCTAGGCCACCACACCAGGACCAAGGCTGGAGATTATTGCAGCACTGAAAAAGCAAGCAAAGGTCCAAACTTCCAGTGTGGCCAGGGCATGTGGCCAGGGAGTGTGACCAGGGCGTGTGGCCAGGGCGTGTGGCCAAGGGGTGTGGTCAGGGGGTGTGGCCAGGGCATGTCTGTCCAATCAATACTGCTGCATTTCTTTATTACGACTAAATGTACTTCAAGGTTTGCCAGTGGTTTTCTTTCTCTGTTCTTTGCCTACTTACCTCATTACCAGACCTTATTATTCATGCAGACTCCTGATTATACAACAAAACTGGGATGCCGCCTATCCAAAATGCCTACATCTAGACACAATAAATTCCTGGATGACAGTTTACATATGCGGTTCAGTGAATATTGAATGTAGATATTTTCAGTGTCGTCTTATAGGCCTGGCATTGTAACCCAGCAGATTAGCCAAACCCCGTGATGTCAGCACCCTATATAGGCGCTGGTTTGAGCCCTGCAGCTCCACTTCCCATCCAGCTCTCTGCTTGTGGCCTGGGAAAGCAGTTGAAGACGGCTCAAAGCCTTGGGACCCTGCACCCGTGTGGGAGACCTGGAAGAAGTTCCTGGCTCCTGGCTTCAGATCGGCGCAGCACCAACTGTTGCACTCACTTGGGGACTGATGGAAGTCCCTCATAGATGGAAGATCTTCCTCTCTGTCTCTCCTCCTCTCTGTATATCTGACTTTGCAATAAAAATAAATATTTTTTGAAAAATCATGAAGGAAAGAAATATAAACCAGTGAACACTTGATCTGGCCCCCCTGGGGGTACCCGCTGTGATGGCCCCCTGGGGGTGCCTGCTGTGATGGCCCCCTGGGGGTACCTGCTGTGATGGCCCCCTGGGGGTACCCGCTGTGATGGTCCCGTGGGGGTCTGTCCTTGCATTCTGTGCTGGTCCTGAAGCTGCCACAGGCCACTTGGCGGAGTCCGCCTTCTCTGGTGGTTAAAGCTAAAGACAAGCTGGTGGCATGTGGAGCACTGAGGGGCCAACGCTCCCACAGGGTCCTGATCATCCAGGGAAAGGCTCTCTGCTTTAGGCAGGCATGGATGCCCGCCTGTAGCCACCTGCCAGCAGAGCCTCGGGGCCACGCAGGGACTGCAGGGGCGGCCTCCCTGGAGCCGAAAGCCCTTCCTTCCTCACACCTGGGCATGGGGGATTAGCCCCCTTCCCCATGATGTCAACACTCACTGAGGTGACTCAGTCCTCCGGGAGGAAGCGGCTTGCCCTGCTCAGCTTCCAGGGTGCCTCTGCGGTTGCCATGGCAACGCTCACGCGCACTTCACAGCACATAAGGTGCTTGTGCTGGAAGGGACTCGAGAGATCAGCTCCTCTGCCCCCTCATTTCACAGGGACACGCAGAGGGGATGCTCCAGACCTAGGGCCATGCAGCAGGACAGCCCTGAGAGGCGGCCTGGACACGGGCTATGCTTCATCCTTGCTCCCTAAGCTCCACCTAGTTCTCTCCGACTCGGGCACAAGGCAGGATGGACCCCTGGGCCCAGTGTGTGCAGCCAGAGCCCTTGGACGTTTGGAGCAGAAGCCAGCCTGTCAGGGAGCAGCTAGAGTGAAGATCCAGGGTGAGGCCTCCAGAAGGCTGGAGTAGCCTGGAGTGGCCCTGGGCCCCTGGGAATAAGGACATCTGTGAACATGCCCCGGCCAGCAAGGTCGCTGCCCCAGAGCTTGGCTGAACTCGAGCCTATCCCAGGGACCAGACCTGGACACCCCCAAGCCCAGCCAAGGCCACACCTCGCCTTTCCCACCAAACCTGCTGATTGACCCTGGCCAGATAAAACACCAAATACTGACCATCTGTCGTTCGTAACATGCATGGTGGCACTGCTTGGGGTGGGCCATCCACTGGCCAGCCTTCACTCACAACTGCTGTCAATTGATTGGTGTGAGAGACATATGGTGTGGGGTCCCACCCTCTGGCCCACGCCCTGAATGAGCTGGGATCGGGCTAGGGCCCAGCCAGGAGACAGACACTCAGTCTAAATGATTGAAGCCAGTGCTGCTGTCCCCCACCCTACTCCAAGGCCTGCACCGTCAGGAGGCTGTGGCAGCACCTGTGTCAGAGGCCCCAAGGCTGCCTTCTGGGGTCCCATGGTCACCTCAGCTCCCCTCCTGACCCCCTGGGTTTTCCTCCCAGCAAGCC